GGTAGCCATTTTCACCGTGAAGACAAAATAAAGTCCGAAATTTTTTTTTTACATAATAAAGTAGATTACATTAGCTTTAATTTAATATATATATAAAAGTGTCAGACTTTCCGGAACACTTTCAAAAGTTAAGTTGAAAAAATTAATTTTTTGTAAAAAAGTTGTCATTTTAAATCCCCCCCTGTGGGCAGGTAAAAAGTCAAATTTATAAAAAAAATATACCAAATGATAGGTAATAACATCATGCATTTATAAAAAAAAGAATTATATTGATATGTTTATTTTTAAAAAAGTTACGGCAGTTTTTAGTAAAAAAAATTGAAAAAATTTCGAAAATTAGCCATTTTTAAATTTGTAATTTTTTCGGAGGTTTCCCCCATTTACGGGGAACGACGGAATTTTTTTCAATTTTTGAGGGTAATATCTTCGACTAGATACGATTTGTGATCTTTTGACGTATCATTGAAAGAAATCGGTTCGGCGAGAGCTGAGAAAAAGTGGTAACAGACACAAAAAAAAACACATCTTAGTAAAACCAATACCTTCTCAGCTTCGCATCGAAGCTAAAANCAAAAAAAAAAAAAAAAAACACATCTTAGTAAAACCAATACCTTCTCAGCTTCGCATCGAAGCTAAAATGAAGTAGAGTTAATTTATATACATTAATACATTATTATATTATTGTATTTAAGTATTGTTTGTATAAACATATATTGTTTTTGTTCTTGGTTTTCGGTAATTTTAGAATTATAGTCTTCCATTAACTTTATAGAGCGTTCAACGGTATCATTAACTAAAATTATCGAAGATATTTTTAGTCAGGTAGTTTTATAACTTTTATCACGTCATTTAGGTGAATGTAGCTAAAGAAAATACATTGAAATATGAAACATATTCATAGGATCAATCGACAACAAGTCTATTGGTAGAGTTTGATTGATTTACATTTAATGTAATTTTTTTTAATTAACTGTTTGTTAAGCAAGACCCACATTATCTTCACTCAAATAAGACAAATAATTGCAAAATATTTTAAAGGCTATGTTTATTTCTTTATTCATTTATTCATAAAGTGCTAATTTTTCAAAAAATTAATATTATTTTGCAGACGAAACATTGTTTTATGTAACACGTATTAATTTGCGACCAGTAGCAATGTATGCATGCGAGATGTGGCCAGCACAAAGGGTGATGAGGAAAAACTAGCCATCTTCGAGAGAAGAATACTAAGGAAAATTTATGGTTCCGTGTTTAATGTAGACTTAGGAGTTTTCGAAAGTAAGAAAAATGAAGATTTACAAAGACTCTATAACAAACTGAGTTTTGCAAATTTCCAAGTCACAAAAAACTAGAATGGGCTGGTCACGTGAGGCGTGCAGAAAAATGTCTTATAGGAAAAGTGCTCGATGGAAACCTTAATGGAAAAGACCCATAGGAAGATCACGTCAAAGATGGGTCGATACCGTGAAGAGACTTGACACGAGTGGACTCTACGTATAACATCAATTTGGCAGTAGATAGGATGCAATGAAGAGGAATTGTAGAAGCAGCATTAGACCTAAATGGTCTGTTTCAAGCCTAAGAAGAAGAAGAAGAACACGTATCAATAAAATAGTATGCTTGAAAAAACATTACAATCATTTAAAAAGTCCATTACAGAAATAGCCAAAAGTAAATTGGGACAGAATATAAGCACCAAGAAAAGGCCATGGATTACTGACAAGATTCTGAACTTAATGAATAAAAGAAGAAAACATAAAAATGTAAATGATCAACAATATAAACAAATTCATAGACAAATAAAAAGAGAAGTGCGGCTTGCAAAGGAAGAACACTTCGCAAATGAATGCAAAGAAATAGAAAATTATATGAGAGTGGGTGATAGCTTCAATGTACATAAAATAATTAAAGAAGCAGTCAGAATGGTATCAAAAGCATCAGAAAGCATCTTAACAGATATGGATGGAAATTTAATAACAACCTTGGAGGATAAATTCAAGAGGTGGCAACAATACTTAGAAAAAGAACTTTTTCACGATGTACGGCCAGAAAGGCACGAAATAACGTTTAACGATATCGGACCGTCAATATTGGTGATTGAAGTACAGAAAGCCATAAGCAAT